AATAGTCTCTTCAATAAATTGTTGCTTAGTGATCTATAAACGAAAATTCTACCGTGAGCATATATACATGGTGTGGGCAGGATGTCCTAGTTGCAAGCAAACAATTCGTTCGAAAATAAAGTGTTCTTAGGAAAATTGATTTTTGTTATTTATTGAAACGTTTCATCACGAAGCGGGTAAATAGTATGGCAAAGATTTTTTCCTACCCTTTTATATAAGAATTTACAGGTCAAAATTTATTTATAGACTCGGTTAGCAGAAGCCAGAAGTTTATGTAAATTTTATGTTAATTAGATAAGCAATTATTGCTTTGGTCATTATAACATACTACAACAATCAACGCTAGGGGCTGCACCTCGTGAATTTTCTTTAACCCTCGAGTAATATCATATAAATATTCTAATTTCTATTCCAAGTCAATGTTTCGAAGTTGGACTGTATTTGCGTAAATCGCCATCGTTTGCACTATCAAGTATTCATTTGTAGTCGGATTTTTAGTTATTCCATAACATTTAAGATGGTGCTGTCCAACATCCCGACAACCACAATCCTGACAACCCATAAACCCGACAAAAGAAATTCTGAATGCACGAAATCCAGATAGTTCAAAATACTGACAATTCAAATCAAAAGTAAACACCGATGCCAATATGAGTTTGTATATGCAATGCATATCGATATACCGATACGTAATGTTAAGATTTTAAATATCAGGATGCCGTGCATTCGGGATTTCGTTGTCGGGTTTATGGGTTGTCGGGATTGTGGTCATCAGGATGTCGTACCGGATCCATTTAAGATACTGTAAAGTGCTCTGTATAGTATCCCTCTCTTGTAAAAATTTGAACCACAATTTTTTTTAGTAAATCAAATTATTTTTCTGCAAATAATTAAAATTAGATTTCACTATGCGATTTTTTAAAAAATTTAGTTACTGGTTTAATAGCCTTGAGTTAAACTGTGGTTTAAGGGGATACTATACAGAGCGCTTTACGGTAATTACTCTCTAATTTTGAAAAAGTTAATTATATTGAAAAACAAAAGCAATATGCTTACACTTTTAAAAGGTGTACATTTTACCTCGTTTATAAACTCGGATATAATTTGCTGAATTGTGTAATGATTTCAACACAACTTATCATTTTCCTTTTCGTTTAAATTTATTTTCTTCATGATTCCATATGTTATATAGTGGTATGTCCAACCAGGTTACTTTCTAAATTGATCCAAAACCTAAAATTAACATTGGGAAATCTTTCAAAAGTATCCATTTACTAGACTGTCGATAGATTTATTTCCACTAAGCCATTCAGCTTAATAAATATAAATTCGTTTGTGATATAGAAATCATCTATAACAGTCATTGTTTTGACAATTGGTACATTCACTACAATCATAAATATTGTTTACCTATTAATGGTATATAAAAAACCTCTCTATAATCACAGGGTTTTTATAGTCACATCCCTTTAGAACCAATACGTACTTAATAATGCTATATAAAAAACCTCTATATAGTCACAACCTCTTTATAATCACCTATTTACATGTATTGTGAGTTAGGTACGTACATGTATTCCGGTCTCTGCCGATCTCAAATACCACTCAAATGCTTTTTTTTGTTCATCTTTGATTGTTCCTTCTCCATTTTTATAGCAGAAAACAAGATTATTTTGTGCGTCAGAATCTCCAGACTCTACCGATTTTAAATACCACTCAAATGCTTTTTGATTATTCCTTCTCCGTTTTTATAACAGAGCAAGATTAAATTGTGCTTTAGAATTTCCAGACTCCGCCGATCTCAAATACCACTCAAATGTTTTTCTTTCATCTTTTTTTATCCATAGTATAATGTTCCGATTAAATATTATGCTCGGCATCACTTATTTTTACCGAGCCAATATGTTGCTGGTTCATGATTTGATTTTCAGTTATGCTTTTTGCTATAATAAATGAAGATGTTGCTAAATTTCTTTCTACTTGATCCGAATATGTAGCTGCGGCTAAATTATCAATGATCAAATTGGACCCACTTTAACATTGTCATCTTTATCCATTCCAATAGATATATTAAATATAAATGAAAACAATCATGGATTCATCGAAATTTATCGTTAATAGCTGTTGTTAGATTCTTTTCGCGTTCAGTTGGTTGCTTTCTCTTGTTTTTTGCCAAGCTATTTTCTCTGAAAAGCTCAATTTTTTTTGCTTGGTTCAATACTTCCGATTCTGATAAATTATTATTATTTGTTGATGGAATAGATGGAGACGAAGATGTTGTAAACACAACTATTTTTCGATTTCTTTGATCACTAACTTTTTGTTGATAATTTTTGACATGTTTATATTACAAAGTATGCACGTAATTAAGACGAAATTAGCAGTCAATCCCATTTAAATTGAAATGATAAAAAATTCAGGTGTTCTTGAATCAACTTATACGTATTTATCTAAGCAAATTTTGTTTCTGGAGTTTACTAGGTACCGTTCTGTACGTAGATGTACAGTCGCCGCAAAAAGTAACGCCCGATTTATTTCATTTCTGCTTTATATACATAAAAATTTTTTTTACCATTAACTAATACATTACCCACCCTCTATATG